AATGTCCGGATGCAGTGTGGTCAGTGATAAGCGAAGATCACCTCTCTTCACAACACCAAGGCGGTTACGTATTTTTGATAGCAAATAAATCACCCTACTAAAACCAGATTCAACCAGATAAGATGTGGGAAAAGCGATAAAATACAAATTTGCTTCTCCCAGAGCTGAGAAAACTTATTAGCTATTTCACTACTTATCCAGAAATAATGTTTGTAACGTTTGAATCTAGCTTGGACTGTTGAAATATTTTATTCGGGCAGTGAAGTTTCGGTGGGCCACTCAGAAGTTACTGTGGTCCCTAATTTTCCTTCATTCACGTGTGGCCCCTTAGAAACACAGTGTGGCCCACGTTGAGAAACACTGCTCTAACAGCACCACCTGGTTCTATAGAACACTATAAGTAAAAATAACCTTTAATATTCTCGTAACAATAAAGCCAGAAAAAGTTAGCTAACAGCTCCAGTTAGTACTGCAAAAGCTATAGGAAGAAAATCTTACGATAATGGACGCAGCTTGTATGTCAGTACCTATGTATGTAACCAAAACACCTTCGCCATCTATTGAATGGCACCACAAACAGAATCCACAGAAAAAGAAATTCACACTTTGGGTATTCAAGATTCAGACAATTAGAAAAATAACTGTGGTATGTGTAACAACCATTTCTTTATAATAGAACACAATTTTTAAATAAAGGTACTTTCCTGTACGTGAGGGTTTGGTTATATCTTTATTGGTGTAATTTTTAAATGTAGTACTGAGAAAGGGGAGATCTTAAAAATATATTATATTTTAATAAACGGTACCACTTAGTATATAAAAACATTATAGTTTATATCAGTAAAATGTATGAAAATTTTGAGCTCTGTACATTGAATCATTTTGATGCAATGAGTTATGTATGACTAAAGAGCAAATCCGAACACTTTTCCCTTGCAGTACTTCCTAGAATAAAATCCTTTTTAGAAAATGTTCACTTTTTCTTTTTTTTTTTCATTGAGGTATGAATACTACGATTAGTAATTACTATCAGAAGCAGCCGCCCCTAGGGCGGCAATTCTTCTAGCTACAATAATTCGAGAAAATTTCACTAAGATCACTACTTTGTCCTACAGAAACTATCGGAAGAGAATAACAATAATGGCTGATATATCCTCAAACATTGTCACCTGGTGTGAAGTAAACTATTTGAAGAAATAATGACAATACCAGTAAAATGCTTTGAAAATCACTCCTGGTTCTAGAGAGACTATAGGAAAAAAAAATAATACCAGAAAATCCTTTAACATCACTCCTGGTGCTATTGAAACAATAGGAGATACTAACAATAATGCCAGAAAAATTTCTTGAAGCACGTTCTGCGGAAACTTTAGGAAGAAAATCTCATTAATACCAGAATAGTTCCACTTTTTCTTACAGAAACTATAGGGAAAAAGTATCAATAGTTCTAGAAAAAACTTGTAAAATCAACACCTGGTCCTACAAAAACTATAGGAAGAGTACAACAATAATGTCAGAACAATTCTCTAACAACAACACATAGTGATACCGAAAGTACAGGAAGAGAATAACAATAATCTAATATTACCACCTGATCTTATCAAAACTATGAGAAGAAAAGAACAACAATGCTAGAAAAATCCTTTAATAGCACCACTTAGTCTTATAGAAACTATATATATAGAGAATAGCATTAATGCCTGAAAAATAACACAATCCAGTCGTACAAACGTTATAGTAAGAAGACAAGAATATGCTACATAAAATATCATATGTATCTGTGGATTTATTGTAAGCTATATACAGAAGTTGAATTGTGCGTGAAGAAAGTACACTTTCTTGGAATTGTAATTAACAACGTATTTTTCAGGAGTACAGTTTTTAGATGTTAACATTATTGTTCTATGATTTTTCATAGGTTGTATTTATTGCAATAGCTTTTGGATCTTTGATAATTGGGAAACTTGAAGATATTTATGGACGTAAGAAGGTAAGTATCGCCATCTAGTGATAACAGTCTATATTTAGAATTTTTAGCTGAACCCACAGTGCATACGTTTAACGCTTAGGTGTAAAAACAACTGTGAGTTTTGTTTCTTAGTATCTATATTACAATAAATGTATTACTAAAAAGCATATAACATAACAATCATGTGGGAATTTATAATGTTAATGAAACTCTGATACAACCATTGTTATGGTGTGAAAGCCATTTGCTAGCGAAGCGTGATTATGACAATAATATTAGGCTTAATTACTTTTAAACAAGTTTTTTCCAGTTTTCAATGCCGTGTTTACATACACAAGTTTCGATAATTCAAACACTTTTATGATTTTAGGACCTTAGAATTTAATTGTTATTATAATATCATATTTTAATAGCCATTTTGAAATATGTGAACCACATATATTTTACCATCTTAAATGTAATAAACTTTAAAGTTAAACCCAGTTTTGTTTTTTGTAGATGGAATCCTTGTTTAATTTCTTCAAAGTGTAAAAATCGACAAAAAGAACTGAAGTCGAACTTAATTTTATTCATAAAATGTATTTACTCTGTAATACTTTTCTACTTTGCTTAATTTACATATTTCATATTTTAAAAGCTTCTCACTGAGAAAATAAAGAACAGAGTATTAGATGGAGGTAACATAATGATTAGCGATGATATGCTTTATTCTAATGCGTTTAGTCAGGTATTATTTGTCTTCTAGGTCATTATAATTGCGAAGTGAAGCCAGTGATTAGCGATGTCATGCCTTATTCTAAAGCGTTTAGTCAGGTATTATTTGTCTTCTAGGTCATTATAATTGCGAAGTGAAGCCAGTGATTAGCGATGTCATGCCTTATTCTAATGCGTTTAGTCAGGTATCATTTGTCTTCTAGGTCATTATAAGTTGCTCTTGTATGCTCATTGTATTTGGAATCCTGAGCGCAGTTTCGCCATCTATCAAGTGGATGTTTGTTTTTCGTGGATTTCTTGGACTCTTCGTGCACGGATTACAGAGCGCGTGAGTGTGAAAGCTAGGTTAACTGTTTTTATCTTGATCTTTTTTACACGACGTACTGTTGAATTTTAATGTTGTCATATGGATATGTAAAGAATACTATAAATTATTTTACTTAGCCGTTTTTCTTTGAATTTTTGTTTATCATCTTAAAATCTAAATGTGAAAAAAAAATTATTTTATGTGCAAATTTCATAAGAAAATTCTTGCGAAATCTCCAGATTGTGTATTAAGTTAAAATTATATCCACTGACAATTACATATTCTCAAACATTCACTTTAAACCAGGGAGTCTTGATAGGGATGTGTCACTCTCTTAAATTAGTAAAATTGAGCTGAATGTGCTGCTCTCTGTTAGTCGGCATTGTAGAATATTCCTGACAACTATTCAGAATGGCAGCTTGCGGAGTAGGAAATTTGTATGCGATTCCAAAATATCCAAATGCCTATATTAAAAGTAAGGATTATGATTTTTTATATATTCTAAAAATTTAGAAATATAAGTAGATCTAACTATTACCGTCTATATAATTTTACACTGTGAAAATCGGATATTATTTCACTCACTCTTCTACATATCAACTAGGCCTGATCGAATTCTAATACTAAAAAATTGATTAAAAGCGTAATTTTTGTTTCAAGAAGTCCAATTTTCGAGAACTTTTGGAGAAAAACAGCTGAGGATCTGCAGTTTTCGCCAAGTGCACATTGAGGGTAAAATGTTTATGACCCAGGCTATTTATTTCCAAACCCTATGCTTACAGTGTTTGATATCTCATAACTTTACCATGTTTGGTATCATCACAGATCTTGCTTCCAGTTCGTCTCACTGCACCACAAAATAGAAAAAAACCAAAAAAACATTAATTTTTTAATCACGGTTAAGCTATGTAAATTAAATTGTCATAATCTTTTTTTTTTGTACTTTTAACACAAATTGGCACAAAAGGCAATATATCATATAGATTATGCTCAAGCTGTGTCTAAACAGGAGGAAAAGGAAACTTGTGGATAACACGATAGGAAAACATGTAAAACCATGGTGAAAAACTTTATAAGGTTAAGCTTTAATGATGCGTTGTTAGATTCTTAATTAATGTTAATTCAAACTAATGAATTTCAATTCTTTCATTTAAAATTCATGAAATACAGGTACATAAAATGTAAACTTATATGTTTTTATATATTTATAAGATACAAGCTCTTAATAACTTGTGCAAGTCAAGTAATTAGTTCATTTAAATTATATAAAAATGTGTTCTTATATGCAGATAACTGAAACTTTATGATAAAAGTTTTTGGTCATATGCATCATAGGGTGCTTAGCGTTACTTTCAGTGTGAAACACCGATATAAATATGCTGAAATAAGAGCCTTGAAATAAATACACACAATTCCCTTGTAGTATACAGGGCTGACCACTTGGTGGCACCACCGAGTTAGT